ATAGAGATAGTAAGAGGAGCACCCTCACAGGATCATTGTGAAGCTGTGATGGGATACTACATAAAAAACCTTGAGAATACTTCCTACGCAATCAGTAGGTATTAGCCATGATTATTATTATTTGTACAAATACTTTTTTTAAAGGAAAGAATTAAAAAGCTTTGAAGGTCCCTGCAGAAGAAAATTTAAGTCTGGCGAGTCAGTAAATCGCAGAACAAAGAGGTATTAGTCACTGGCTTTCTATTTCAACCAGAGTTAGGAACAGCTGTCATGGCAGAGGAAGTTCTTGAACAAAAAGTTTAAGGAAAATGATGTTCTGACAAAAATCTGTGACAACTTCGTTTCAAAGATGGAAAACATCTGACCTGGGAGTTATGAACTACTGAACTTGTCCTTCTCAAATGAGTCGGTCAATGATGATTTTGTACACACATAGGTCAGTGGTCATATTGTATTTTCTTAACTAAATTGAGTAAGTATATTTTAATGTTGCTTGGTCCAGAGAATGGATCAGAATCTTTAAAATATACCATGAATCTCAAATAAAGTCCATAACTCAAAGGTCCCAGGGCCCCACATGACTCAGGTTTAGCATCTTCAATGTCACATTCAAGAACAGCAGTATAAGGGCAAATTATTGAAAACAAACTAAACGTTCAGCTACAGGGGACTGATTCAATAACTTCCATTCATTCTTACTTTGATACAATGAAATACTATGTGTCTGTAACAAACAATGTGGCAGCTCTGTATGTATTCTTAGGAACTGCTCTTCTAGCTGTATTGTTAAGTTAAAAAAAAAAAGAAAAAGCAAATTTCAGAACAGTGTGCATAGTATGCTATCATTTGTATTCAAAACAGGGAGATCATATATACATCATATACATATGTGTATAAGCATAGACTATTTCTGGCAATTCGCACAAGAAGCTGGTAATAGTAGTTGCCTCTGGGGAGTGAAAGTTGATTGGAGGGTGCTGAAGGTGGAAATGAGATGGAAACCTATATCCTTTTGTTCTGGGATTTTGAACCATGTGCATTTTAACCTATTTGAAAATGAATAAAAGAGGTATTAAATCCAAGAACAACAGTCCAACACCCAAAAGTCATTTAAAAAAGAACTCTAACATTTATTTGTTAACTCCAAAAGACATCAAAGGAGCTCCAATCCATGTCAACACTCTTTAGTATCTCCTTTGTTCTCACTAATCCTCTCATGCCCCGTTGCTACCTCTCAGTGTCCCTCACTCACCAAACTTTATCATTTTCCATCAAAACTGTCCCCCTAAACCCTTTCCCCCAAGTATTGCTTTTTTCGTTCCTTTCTCTCCCCTCTCACCTCTCCATCCTGTCTCTGTCACCCTTACCCCAGTTCTGTAACTCAAAAGCCTATTGGGTCTTTCGAAAAGTCATGACGCATGTTTGCAACAAATGGCACTAGTTCATTTTTGGAAGTACTAGAGTCATTCACATCTATGTTATTGCAATGTCATTTGACAGCTGACAGTTCTAGCTTCATTCTAAAAAAAAAGTAGAGCGATTTGGTTGAGTTTTGGAGATTTTACAAGTTGAAGAGGGAAGACCAAACTGCATTTTTGCCATGATTTACTGTTTTACTTCCATAAAGAGAACGCGCGTCAAGCTTGTGAAAAGTTGCATAAAGTTTACAATGAAAATGCCCTACAAGAACGTTGGTGCCAACGATGGTTCACGAAATTCTGTGCTGGTGATTTGATCTCAACAACGCTCCTCAGTCAGGGAGGGCCACCGAGGTTGATGATGACAAAATAAAGGTGTTGATGACGACAGAATAAAGGCGTTGATCGAGTCAAACCCATGTTACACGACATGAGAGATTGCAGAAACATTGAACATCCATCATTCAAGCGTTCACGACCACCAGAAGAAGCTAGGATACTTAAGCAAGCTCGATATTTGTGTTCCACATGAACTCAAAGAAGCTCACTTGACGGCACGTATAAACATCTGCAATATGCTCACTAAACGTGAGGAAAACGATCCTTTTTTGAAGCGACTGATAACTGGTGATGAGAAGTGGATTGTTTACAACAATGTGGTGTGCAAACTGTCTTGGTCCCAACGTGATGATTTGCCTCAAATAACATGGAAAGCAGACATTCATCAAAGGAAGGTTATGCTCTCAGTGTGGTGGGATTTTAAAGGTGTCGTATTTTTCAAGCTCCTACCAAGGAATCAAACAATCAGTTCGAATGTGTACTGTCAGCAATTGGACATTTTGAACGAATCCATCATTCAGAAATGTCCAGAGCTTGTTAATTGTAAAAGAGTTGTATTCCATTGTGACAACATGAGACCACACACAAGTTTGATCACCCATCAAAAATTATTGGAGCTTGGATGGGATGTGTTGCCACACCCACCATACTCACCTGACCTTGTGCTATCAGACTTCCACTTGTTTCACTCTCTTCAAAACTCCTTGCGTGGTATAACGCTCAATTCAGATGAGGCTGTAAATCAGCACCTTGTTCAGTTTTTCGCAAATGAAGACAGGTCCTTCTATGAACAAAGAATTATGAAGTTCACTGAAAGATGGCAAAAGTTTATCGAATAAAACGGGCAATATATCATTGATTGATTTTTGTTCTTTATATAAATAAATGACCTTTGAAAAACATAGACAAAATACGTCATGACTTTTCCAAAGACCCAATAGAAATCAGTAAGATAAGACAAAACTCTCCGTAGAAAGCCACAGGCAGAAAAAAATGAGCAGGCAAAGGCATTTCTCATTATGCTCTCATTGTACAAAGAAACTGAGGCCCATAGAGAGTCACCCAGAACCACACAGCAAGTCAGAAGCAGAGCCAAGACAAGGATGCAGGGCTCCTGTGAAATCATATTCCAGGCCATTCAACCCATTTGCCCCAACCTTCTACTCATCCTTCAAAGCCTCGCTCAGATAGCCCCTCTTCTTGGAAGCCTTCCTTGAACCCCATTTGTTTTCTTCCCTTAGGACCTTGGCCTACCCACTGTCCTGGCCCTTATTTCCCTGTATTATAATGTCTCTGAGTATGTTTCTGTTTACACTGAGTGAGAGTCTCAAGAATAGAAAAGATATTTGTCTCCCAGGAAGTAACAAGGCATGCCTGAGTGTGTGGTGAGCTGAAAGTGTGCAGTGCTCTAAGAGACAGTGTGTTCTGGGTGCTCTGAGGAGGCAGAGGTTACTCCTCCCAGGGAGATCTTGGAGAGCTCCCTGGAGAAAGTGCCATTTGGCTGACAGATACCCTGGAACTGCATACCATATATTCAAATTACTCAATTTCAACTACATGACTTTGGCAAAAGAAACAAGATAGAGAGAAAAAAATGATTTTTCACAATTGTAACAGTATTATGCGTTTCACAAAAATACTTGTGCTGAGATAAAATGTACTACATAAAGATTAGTAACTCAAGCTACCTCTTAATTTTCACGCAAAAAACTTTTCAACATATGCTTTGCAGTTTTCTATTGTGTAACAAAACT